AGGATTTGAGGCCTGGCGGCCTTGAAAGTGGATTGTTGGGGCTTTATCAGGTTGTAGCTCGGCAAACTACGCTGGGAAAAATTGGTTTTGGCTAGCTTTCCTTTGCGTGTTGTCAAATTTGCATGTACTAGCCAAGCTGCGGAAAACACCCAGTCAGAGGAAATGGTGGTCTTGCACTTTGTGTCGCGGACCTCAAGCAATAGTTTTCCCTCCCTGGCAAAAATCCATTGTGCTTGCTGAGCTGGCTCTTGATCTTTGTACGAACGACCAAACTTATTGCTGGTGAACAAACTACACGAACAAAAATTGTGTGAACCACAAAAGACCCACTGCAATCGCTCCAGTTCCACTAGCCAGAGCCTTCTCGCGCACAGGTGGACACGTGGCTTCAGCTTTGGTCGCCCCTGGCTGGCCAGCGTGTTGGCTGGCTGGGGGCGTTAGGGCACAACGACGTCACCATAATTTCGTAATTTCGACGACGTCACTAAATTCAGTTTTTGAATTTAACGAAATTAACCGACGACCCAGGAATTATTTTATATTGCCCAGATGGATGTCATGGATGTCTCATCCACCGGAATTCCGGTGGTTAGAGTTCGTTCTCTTCCTTCGCTCAAAGACCTTCGCTGCGTTCGTGAGGAGATGTACCAGATGATCACCCTGGGAGGAGATGCTGAACTGGAGCTGGTGGGACCTTGGAAGAGCTTGGAACCGGTGGAAAAAAAAGCAAGGATGCAAAAGGGTTGCACTCCCTGCAATCATCATGGTTACGTCGAGTGGAGTGAACACCACCTCTTTGGTATGCGGAATGTTTATGGTAATCCTTTTTGGGGACATGTTTCACTTCCATTAGTATTTCATTAATTTGTCAGGGAGTATAAAATCCCCTTACTCAGAGACATTGGCTCAGCCTTCCCAGGTGGCGCTTTATATAGGGCCCAAAACAGTCTTGGGGAAGACTAAGCCGTTTGAGTTCCGAGGAAGGAAACACCCCTTTGGTCATTCCTGGTCGGGTTAGTTGGATCAGTTGGAATAGACGAGGGCCTGGAGCATTTATACAGACGGTGGAATGCAAGGAGGATGTGGGCCCCGGTGAAAAAGGCATGGGGTATCATAGCTATTGAACCGGACCACCTCAATGGCTGTAGCTTTTCATTCTTTTCTACCTTTGGCGATCATTTCCTGGAGAATCTTCAAAACACAGCATGTATCACCAGCTGGAAAGTCAGACTCATTAGGAAGAAAAACCGTTATTTAAAATTCCTTCTACCACTCACTTGTGCTCACTCTTAACTCAAGCCCTCGAGAGGTTGCAGACATGATTCTACCGATTTAGTTACAGTGAGACAGTGAGCGCCTTGCTGATGCTCACTGTCTTATACAACCGGGTTGGCTGGGCACACGGTTCAGGAAGGTTACAGTAGTACAGTAGTTTTGAAACGCCCATCGGCAATACAGGTGGGCAGTGGGCAATTCACTCACAATCCATTTTGGTGCGAAGCTTGGCTGTGGGTTGAACCGGGAGTTCCACAAAACCATTGATTTTCGTCAAATAAAACTAACTTCCCTCCCACCTTGCGCCCATTTGGGTGCTTTTTGTGGCATTGGTGATGGCCACGTGTCCCAAAAATGCTCCATCCAGGTGGATACGCTGGATCCCTTCAATGAGGGCATCCATTTCAGCGTTCGGCCGCCGAAGAAGAGCCCGGGGAGCCCAGAAGCGACCCGGGAGCGTGAGCGTGAGCTCGCGGCGCGGCGGCCTTGTTGCCAGGCGTTGAACTTGGCCGGCTGGTGTTGAAAGAGTTTCTTTTCGGCCAATGAGACACAGCAACTGGCATAGCCACCAAGCATGAGCCTTGAGGAGGGTATCAAGCTGAGTCGCACCAGTTTAAGTCTTGGAGCTGAGGAAGGATTTCCATTGTTTTGAGGATTGAAATCCAAAAACTGATTGGTTCTTTGCAGTGGGGAACTGGCTAATGCCACATGTTCAGGGGAATCAAGTCTATACATATATATATATATATATATATGATTCTATGTGTCTCTTGAATCCTGCAATCTTAAATCCTTCAACAAGACTTGAGACTTGCTACAAACATGCAGTTGGATGAATAATTAAGCATCCGAAAGCCATCAATTGGCGCGTCCTCCCTGTCAAAAACCGGTCACCCGACCTACCTGCCGTCTTCCGGCTGTTTCGTCTCATGATGTCTCGCTCACCGTTGGAGGTTGGAAGCAGATCACCAACCTCTCTGGTGGAGAGAAGACCTTGGCCTCTTTGTCCTTGGTCTTTGCTTTGCATCACTACAGGCGGGGGACCAAGCTGCGGTGTTGCTACGGCTGGTAATGGTACGGCTGGTATGGCTGGGCGGGTGGTACGGCTGGGCGAAGATGGGCATCGCTGGTGGAAGGCAATCGAGATGACGGTCAGGTGGTTTCATGGTTTTCAAGTAGCAAAACAAATCTAATCATATCTATAATCATTATATAGGGAACAAATTGGAACAAGGGAATGAAATACAAAGGAATCTCGAACTGGGGGCTGATACCTTCATTCCATCATCTTATTTCCTACTAAGTTACTAAGCACCAGTTTGGTATATTCATATAGTATGATATTACGATTTTGACTGCAGGCATCTGCAGGCCCAGGCAGTCCACGTCCCACACATACGCTTCCTCTTCTGAACTTCTCATGCTGACAAGACCAGCTGAATTCTGTTGAGAGGGAAGCTTGAATTTACCTGGAACCCATTTGACCTTTATTTTGATAGGAAAAGACCATATCACGAAAGGTAGCTTGAGCTACCTGAGTTCTCCTTGCTTTAGCAAAAATGTATTACAATCAGGAGTTGGGATTGTGCATTGAATTTGGTCCTGTAAGAGTTGATTCTGTTCGTCGGGGGGGGGGGTGAAAGAGTGACTAGGGCGTACACGGTTGAGGTGCAGACCGCTAGTGTCTTTTTCTACGCAGAGTCTTATCCTCTTGAACCTTATGGCAGTCAAGCATGGACACACTAGATAGGCCACTGGAGTGGAACCTGTACAAGTAGGCCTCTACATTTCAGCAGGCACAAAATTCATGTCCACTCCAGCCTATTGCGTATGTCGCACACTATTTTTCCACCGTAAGGCTAAAACAGTCCAGCAAGCTCTAGTAAGCTTAAAAAGGAAACTACGGTGCCCTGTACTTACCAATTCCAGTGTGTTGCACACTATAGAAAAGGTAATCTCAAGGTATACTAGATACAGTGAGGGAGCGATAGCTTACTCACCTCAAATACAAAGTCAAAGACAATGTATCTCGGCTGGAGACTGTATCGTTCACCGGCGAAGATACCAGTACCGGCGCTCAATAGCCCTTAAATAGCCAGAGCTGTCAATCCTTCAGAAAATTCTAAATTCAAAAGGAAAGCGGCTTCTTTTGCACAGAGACCTATAAAAGCAGTAAACGACACCCGCGTAACGAAAAAAAAATTCAAGACCGCACAAAATGCAATGAATTAAGATGCCTTGCAAAATGCAAGGAGCGTAAATAATTCGGTCCGAGGAATGGTCTTCTCGAAAAGTGGTCTCGGCCGCTTCCATACACAGGACTTATACCAAAATTTTGAACTGCATCAAAAGGACTCTCTCACATTGATACCAAAAATCAGCCAAAAACAAAAAGGAAGGAGATACCGGCAAATGTATGTACAAAAATCTTGCACTACAATTGCAAATTCATAAAATGACTTAATCATCAACCATAAATGATTGTCCATTAGAGGTCACTCCAAAAGAGCGGCTGTGGTAGATATCATCAGTTCTGTAAAACTGTCCATACCTACCTGCAGATAATATCCGTTTAGTAAAACTGTATTTATCTGCATGCTAAAGCTTTTAAACCTGGAATGCAGGAGTATCTTCTTTGATAAAAAGTTTCTCCTTGTTGCAAACCAGAGTTCATTAAAACTTCAGCCTGGCAACTTAAAGTCAAACCTGGAAGCAAAGTATCAACTGTAATCAGAAGTATCTTCACTTCCTAGCCATCAATTAAGATTCAGCCTCCGCTCTGAGTTTCTGCCGCTGCAGTCGATGGAGCTGCTTGATCAGAAGTTGGCGGCCTTCCTTTCCTTTTATTCTCCTTCTGTCTCTCCTTCCTCCGCAAGTTAGACTCTCTAAGAGTCTCGCCCCAGCGATAAAGCTTCCTGTCTCCAGATGAAAGGGAAGCTGGTCTGAGTGAAATAAACATTGGACCATGGCTGTCATCGTCAGAGGGTCTTGAGCACATAACCTCCGTGTCAATTATAGCAAAGTTCTCTGAAAAATTACAGACGAACTCCTTCGTGCTCACTGTGGAATTTGTATATTCCTCTTCACTCATTGAATGACCCCATTCAACAATGGTAGACAAACACGTATCGCCAAGCTTTGATCCCTGGTATATTTCTTTTTCTTCTGTAGAGTATTCTTTCTTCCCAGAGTTTCTCAAAGTAAACTTCACACTGCTTGAGGACATGTGAAGATGAACTGTAAAATGTTCTGGGAATAGGTGCTTTGATACCAGGATCTGCTGCTACACGGGCTTCTGAAAACCTGCGGATCCAATGCTGCATGGTGCTGTAATAATAGTTAGCCATTGGCTGCCTTTTGTACCCAGACATTCTGTAGGCCAAACTATTTGCATCACCAGAAATGATGTCCACCTCATATACAAAACACTCATAAAGCATCAATGCTGTCTGTTCTCCTGTCAATAGGTGGGCATCCACAGCACGGTGTGTGTCAACATGATAATTACAGACTCTGATTGTATGCATGTTCGCTCGAGTAAGTGGAACACGCTGGTCCTTAGGACCATAGTCCTCAAATTCAAAGTCTGCATCCTTGAAATCTTGACGAGGCCTTGTTTCTCCAAAACAAATCTCATAGATAGCCCAAGTTACATCACGCTGTTGACAGTGACCAAGGTCTTGTTCATGTCCAGCAATGACCTTGACATATCCACCTGGTGCCAATCTAGCCATCACTGCAAGATTCTCCCAATCATTGAAACAAACTGTCCAATTCTTTTGCTCAAGAAAATCCTTGGCAGTAACAAGGAGATGAGCTTCCTGGAGAATCACGACATGTGCACGTAAAAAGAAGAGCATGTTGAAGAAAAGGTTGTTTTCAAATTGCTCATATTGAAGTGACATGTCACTCTGTTTGCGTGGCTTCATTGCACGATCAAGTCCTTGGAGAAACCTTGGTGTGGTGTATTTCTGACCACGAACCATGTTGCCATAGTTCCAGGATAAAAATGTCAAAGACTCTGAGCTGGCCAATAAGTTAGTTCCATATTGTTCTTCTATTTTTTCCTTTGAGGAACTTTTTGCACAGCTCTTCATAGAAGGCGACATAGTCCCAACTGGGTCCCTTGGGACCATATGCTTCCAGTTCTTCTCTAAAATGTTTCTTTGTCACCTCCAAATCTGCTCGAGCTTGTTCTGCCCTTTCAAGGGCCCTTGCATCGACCTGATACTTGTCATCCAAATAAATGATGCGGTCATCATTGATGAAAAATCTCTTCAAATCATGCTCTGAGCTGTCCTCATCACAATCAGGTGGAGGTACTGGACAGATCCTTCGAATGGATCGAACAAAGTCATCCTCGGTGATCATTGACTGATAGTGAGGATGGGAAATCTCACCTTTTCTGAAACAAACATGGTTCAACAATCTTGCGTGAGTTTCCCTGAAGCATTGTTGATAAAAGCCAATACCTTGATCTCCTGTAAGCTCTCCAAGCAACTTCAAAGGTGAAGTATGCAACTCATAGGTATTGTCAACATCCACTGTATCTGGATCAACAACTACTTCAGATGGAAAAGATTCTTGAATTTCAGCCTCCAATTTCTTCTCTCCATCATCCTCTCTGACCTCTCTTATCTTCTCCACCGCCTTTTTCTTCTCCTCAAATGTTGCATCATCCTGAACTTCTTCATGAAAATGAGGATCAGGAATTGTATTCAGGCGGCTTTTCTTAGATTTCCGCGGACTTGAAGTACCACCAAGGCTAGCATCCTTCTCACCTGATGGTAAGTGCGATGCAGCTGAGTCCTCACCTATCTCTCTTGACAGAAAGTGTGATGCTGACTCATCCTTGGCTTCCTCCTGGTCCACTTCCATCTTTGTGTCCTCTGAAGGAAAAACACCTGCATTCTCATCAAAAACTTCTTCATCTTTTGCGGGTTCAACTGCAGGATCTTCTTCATGGACTTCCTCTTCCATATCTTCACCTTTCATAATCTTCATACCACCAGTATGGATCTCACCAGTGATAGTGGAGACTCTTGTGTAAGGAGGAACTTCTTCACCTGCCTCAAAAGCTTGTTGTGCGATATCCTTGGTGAGCAAGTCCTCTACAAGACTTTCTCCCATGGTTCTTGGAAGAGATTCTGAGGTCTCAAAATAATCTGTCCTCTCTGAACTGAAAAGCTCCGTTGCCTTCTCATTGTCCTTTTTATCATTAAAAATATGAGTAATCTTCACTGCTTCTCCCTGTAACACCTGATCACCTTCTCTATACTTGTTGACAATGGAGCGCCATACTGGCACATCGTCATCATCAAAATCAAGCTCCATATCATCTGCCATCAAGTTTGAGATGTTTTGAGCTGCCTGTTCTTCTTCTTCCTCACGTTCTCTGGCAAGCTCCTCATCCTTCTGGATCTTGAAGATACCCTTCAGGATGTTTTGTAGTACCTTTAAGTTCAGCTTCGATGATGGCTCAAACGTCCCTGAACTTACAGGCTCAACTACAACACGAGAGCAAGAAATCGCCTCCAAAAACTTGGAATTGTATTGGCGTTCAAACTCTTCCTTCTTGATCATCTCATACAAGGGATCAGAAACTGCAACACGCGCCTGAACATATTCACGAAGTTGATAGCATGCATGTTGCACAAATCTGCTGTTGGAGTTGTGAAGAAAACTCTCTAAGTGATTCCTGTCACGGTCAATCAAATACCACACAACTCTTGCAGAAAAACGGAATTTCTTGAAGTTCATAGCAAAATGTGTATGATACTTATCTGGATCCTCTTCTGCATATAAGGCGGCCTCTGAAGTCTTGTAAACAGGGAGATTTGTGAATGGATCCAAAATCATAAACTCTTCCCACAAGATCGAACGCTGAAGAACCCACCTGGGAAGCACCTTGATGAAAAAGTCACAAACAAGTTCAGACAAAAGGTGCATGACACGGCCAATCTCTTCCTCCTGCTTGAAGCGATAGTGCAATTTGGCAAATAAGGGACTGTTGAATGCTTCCTCCACTGAGTTGC